GATTACGTCACTACTAACATAATCTTCATTATTTATAACAACTTTAGTAGGTAAACTATTTGGTTTGCAATATTTGTTCCCAATTATTTCTTTAATTACGTCCCACGTTTTTTTAATATCACCTTTGGAGTTTTTTATTTTATTTGAGTAATAATTCTTTTTTTAAATCTTTTTGATTTTTTCAAACAAATTTTTATATTGTTTGTAAGCATTTAGGTTTGCTTCATTTCTATTTTTTTTTAAAAAAAGTATTTGATCTAAAGTTTTTGTTTTTTTAGGAAGATTTTTTAATTCCATTGGTGATCCACGGACATTTTAGATGTTTTTCTTTTACTAGCATTATTTTTATTGGGAAATATTTATTATAGTTTTTTAAAAAAATGTTTTCAAAATTAGTATAAGCAGAGTTGGTGCGTCCAAGGTTACATTCTTGGTATACTTTATCCCAGTTTATTGCCGATAGTGATTCTTTAAGTTGTTGAATAGCATATTTGTTAATTTTCCTTTTATGAATTTCGATTTTACAGTCGTTAGTAGTTTTTGTATCGTGTGACAGAGAAAAGAAAATCGGAAAATGATCCGATATATCTGTTTTTATAATACCCGCTTTTAAACATCAAGAACTGTATTTGTTAATATATTGTCTATTGACGTTACTGATGATTGAGTTGTTAGAGCATTTCGTCAAAAAAAATTTTAGTTTTGGCCTGTTTATTGTATTGTAAGCAATCAGTGTTAATGTCTCCAATACAAAATATTTTTTTTTGTTCATTGTTATTTTTATAAAAAATTTGTTTTAAATGATTAGAAAATTTTGTTATATCACCATCAGGTGGTCTATAACATGTGGAGACTAATATGTTTTTTGATTTGTTATTTGTTGTTATCTCAATTGTAAAGACCACTATCGGCATCTGAGGTAGAAAGGTCATCTCTATATTTAGTGGCTTGATCAGTTCGAATATAGTTAATACTTCCCTCTCCCCTTTTGTTTTGTTTATTAATGTGTAAATAGGAATTTCTAAGTTTGAATTTATTCTGGACGATTCGTCAGAACACCATGTCTCGGTTAAACAAATCATACTGAATAAATAATTGCATTCGGTTAGAAATTGCTTAAGCTTATCAATGTTGTTATTTATGCTTATTATATTTATGTGTTATGCAGTGAACTTATTCCTTAAAGTTGTAAGTTCAGTTTTAAAAGTTTTTGTTTCAAAATATTGAGAACCAAAATTTATTCCGCGAAAAATCTGCGCATCTGCGTCATTCAAATCGTTGAGTATAACATTATTTGCTTTTTCAAAGACATTAAAGTGCAGCGTTTCAAAATCTATTGTTTCGTTATTCATTGTGCTTAAAATGAAAAATTAAAGGCGCTTTGAAAATAAAAAATTAAGAAAAATACGCATCGCTACTTTTTAAAATGTCGACTAAATATTTTATTATATAATTTAAAATGGCGTATTTACCTTCGCTTCGAAGTCGTTTCACCTCTTCCCAAAGTTTTCTTCGTTGTTCAATCGTTTCTTGCGAAAAGTCCTCGTTAATATACACACCAGTTCCTTTAAGATTTTTTACAGCATAAGGATTTTGTTTTTATCCTGGAAATTTAAGAGTTTTAATACTATTGTTCTAGGTTTTTATTATTAATTGGGCCAATTCGATGGGCTTTTTCAACAACTACTTCGCTTGATATTTTAAGATTTTTTATTAAAGATTTCTTTCACTGCAGTTTCACACTCGCTCCAACTTTCTTCTGGTTTTTCTACTAGTCCATCTATTCTGAGATTATTTCGACGTGATCGATTTTCCAAATCTGTTGTTCTTGTGTACAATACGTTGATTTCATTGTCGAAGTATTTTTTAATTTTTTTAAGTTTTTCTAAAGTTTTTTCTTCTTGGAAATTTATACTATCTTTAACGTCGTTAAGAACCTTTTCTATATTTTTAATTTTTGATTTGTTTCTAAAATTTCTTTCTCCATCACGTTAAGTTTATCTGATATGATTTTAAGGTTGCCACTTACAATTAAAGTAAAAGTTTTCTCTTGCTTCTTGAGTAGCTTTTCTGTTTCCTTTAAAATACTTTTCCTATGTTCGTCTAATTTATTTGATATTAGTATTTTAATGTTTTTCATTGTGATTTCCATTGCTTTTTTATTTACTTAAAACACGTCTTACTCCCGTAGATTTTGCCGAAAAAAAAAAAAAAAAAAAAACTTTACTTTATCTTGACTTATCTTTGTCTTTACTGTTATCTGTTATCTAACTTATCTTTGTCTTTACTGTTATCTTGAAGCTCCATTTCAGTTTCAGAATCATTATCTGGAGATGTTGAAGACTGGATTTTTTTATTTGATCATTTTTTTTTGACAACCAATTTTGTACCAGTACCACTACACTGTATTCTTTTTTTTGTTTCTTTGATCACAATGAGATCATTTAATGTTATTTCTTTACCAGGAATTATCTTTTTTCTTCTCTTCTGTGTTTGTTTGTCTGATTTATTGAATTCACAATGTTCTTTTAGCATTTCCTGAACAACCGTGCCAAAGATTTCTTTAACCTTTTCACCACCAACATCTCGCTTCTCATTTGGCAGTCTTTTCAAGAATTCATCTCTGTTTAGTGGAGATATTCCGCAAGCCGAAAAGCCAGAAATCAGGTTCTGTTCTTTTAGTCTTCACGGTCGTGAAGACTAAAAGAACAGAACCTGATTTCTGGCTTTTCGGCTTGCGGAACAAGTTTATTTGTTAATTAATTTGGCAACAGTTTATTTGTTAATTAATTTCTGAAAAGCCAATGATATAGCCTTATTTTTAACGTAAATCAATAAAATAATAGAAAAATTTCACAAAAATATAAATAAATAGAGGTAACAAAAATCTTTGCGCGCTAAAACTGTATTTTTACTTAATACTTTTTTAGTATAAATTATAGATTTGTTTATTTATTTGAAACCAATTTTCTAAAAATCTGACTGTAGGATTTCAATGATTTTTTTTTAAACTTCAGATAAATATGTTCTATATGTATGATATTTTTATGGTCATTGCTTCAACTTTTTTTCCATATAAAAAATTTGTTTCTACTGTTATGACTATTTCCTTATATATCTGACTTATATATCTGACTATTTCCTTATATAAGTGCAATTTCATTAATTATTTTGTTATTTACTATTTTTCTGACTATATATATATATATATATATATATATATATATATATATATATATATATATATATATATATATATATATATATATATATATATATATATATATATATATATATATATATAATATATATATATATATATATATATATATATATATATATATATATATATATATATATATATATATAAATAGGATTTTCCCAAAACAAACTTTTTTAAAAAATGTGTGCTTAATGTATTTTATATAATAAAAAACAATTGGTTTTTAAAAATTTTTGAAAAATTTTTTTTTGATGACTCCCTCAAGACCCTTATTATTATTTTTTTTTATAAATATTAGGAACATAACAAGTTCGTAATAATTAAAAAAAAAAAATTATATAATAATTGTATAAATTATATCATAATGGTCATATCATAAGTATTATGTATAAATTATATCATAGTGGGTCTCAAGTGAAGCAAAATTATATAAAAATTTCAAAAAAATATTGCCAAAAATTGGTAATAATGTACATTTTTCTTTTTTAGTTAATAAAATTCATTTTTTATGGTGTTAAATCTAACATATATTTTTTAACCTATTTTTTAAGTATAAATATGTAAATATTGCATTTAAACAGTTTATATATGCAAATATATGCAGTAATACAGTTAAAAAAAAATACTTGCATCATAACAAGCAGGTCTTTAATCACTTATTTTTTTATATTACTTGCAAAGAATTTTACTGCGAAAAAATATTTTCAGGTAAAAAAAACTGTTTTTTTTAAATTTTTGAATAAAAAATATTTCGATGATTCCATCATAACCCTTAGGAAATTGTTATGTTTTGTTTATTTAGGAACTTATTGTTTTATTTGAGTGTATCATGTTGGGTCTTAAATGAAGCAAAATTATATGAAAATTTCAATGTTAGATTTAACACCATAAAAAATGAATTTTATTAACTAAAAAAGAAAAAATTTTACCAATTTTTGGCAATATTTTATTCATATTTGAAATTTTCATGATTTCGCTGAGCCGAATGTCAAGATACACTTTTGAAGATTTTTTTAATTGATAATAATAGGAACTCTTTATATGTTTAAGGGACTCCAAAAATGATTTTCCAATACAAAAATGATTTTATCATATAAAACACATTAGGAGGTGGCATCTATATATATATTTTTTAAATATAGCTGCCAAAAATTAAAAAAATCTTAATAATAAATCATAGTAATACAGTGAAAAGCTGATAGTAATAAAATGTGCAATAACGGTTCCAATAATAAACAAAACAAATAATAAAAAACAGTGCAATAACGGTTCCAATAATATGTTGAATTAAATATTTAAAAAGCCACATATTTTTTTGTAATAAATATTTTTTATATAAATATTACAAAATAAAAACGAAAATGTTTTGCAATTTATTTCTTCTGCACTATGTATGGTGTTGCACAAATAAAAAATATGATAATTCCCAAAAATTTTTCCATAAAATTTCACATGCTCATATGTCTAAAAGGTTTTGCTTGATTTCTGGCTCTTAATGTTATATTCCAATCATAGCATTTGTGATCTCCCAGAAGCATCATTTTCATCAATTGTCGTTCATAAATAAGAGTTGTTAATTTTTAAAATAGTTTCAATACAAGATTTGCACAATTCTTTAACATAAGTTGTGCAAAGAATAGTTGCAGATAAAACTTTTGCTCTGTATACTTTAGTAAAAAATCTATAATAATAATGTCACTAAAGAATTATACAAATAATGATCAAACTGCAAATATATAATATAGAACTACTTTTAGAACTGTTTCCTTCATTAGTACATGTGTTGAAGATGTTCCAGACTTAACGCCATTCCTTTCGAAAAGTTATTTATATTTTGCCCTTTGCAGTTTTTGTTTAACTGTAAATAGTCAGATAAATCAAATCAATATTAACATTTTAAACTTTTATTTTTTAAACCAAATTAATTCTATTATATAGACATTATTAAATGACAAATTTTTATACCAAATTTATTATCTGGGGTCAACTATAAAAAAAGGTATTTAATTATGAAGGTAGAGAAAATAAAGTGGACATTTTAACAAAGATACACAAGAAAATGACTTCAAAAAGTGGACTTTATAACATAGTTCATAAAGTATTAACAATTTACCGTCACATATATGATAAAAACTGTTTATTATATCCCACTTATATTAAATAAATTAAAAAAAAAGGGAGATAGGGGTGGTGGTGTTTAAGCCCATTTTAAAAGTGGGTCAAATTCGATTCAAGTCATTTTATTAAAAAATTACCATAACTAATCTAAATTTAAGTTTGTTCATGCTTAAATCTAATGAGAATGTGAAAAAAAATTGTATAAAAAATTGAAGTGATTGGAGCCTGGGAACAAAAATGCCCCAAAAAGTTTGTACCCCCACATAAAAATGTGAGGTTACTAAGTTATTAAAATAACTTAACTTATTATTTTATACTACATTTAAATCCATCAACAAAACAAATAATTCTTGATATTTTTAAAGTTATTTTTTTAAGTTATTTCACATGGTCATAACCTTTGAGCATTAAAAAATGTGAGTTTAAATTTAGTTTTGGATAATAAACTTAAAAACTTATTAGCTCATTAAATTAACATTTGAGACAGGGGGATTCTATCTTTTTAGATAGTTTTGTTCCTAAGTTTTAATTACCACAATTTTTTAGCAAATCATTCTTATAGCAAATCATTCTTATATGATTGAACATACTTATACTTAGAGTTTTTATAATGCCAAGTACAGTCTCTGAAATGAAAAATAATCCTGTGTCTGCTCTTAGGTAATATAAAAAATTTTAAAAATTAAAAGGAATAAATAAAAATGTATACAAAATAATCAACATAAACAAAATAAAAGATAATAATGCCTAATATATTATGGTAATTTTTAAATGAACAAAATAAAAGATAATAATGCCTAATATATTATAGTAATTTATATTACCATCATCTAGCTCCCATTTATGGCTTAAGAGCTGCCCTATCAAGTTTCCATTTTTCAAAATTACTCCTAAAATTTGTTTTTGTTTTTCATCAATATTAACAAAAAGAGGATTTGTGGTTTTGGCATTTTCAGCTATTGCTCTTTTAACATCCTTCTCTAGTTGCTTTCTTTCCAGACGTTCTTTTTTTAAATTAGCTTTGGCACATCTTTTTCCTATTTCTTCATACAAAAGATTATTAAATTTTTTTAGAGGCTTGACACATTAAAGCTCCTCTGCAAATTGCAAATTGAATAAGATCTTCTTGTTCTAGCAATGTTTTCTCATCAAGCCATGTAAATGTTTTGTTTACCCTGGCTTTTATTTTTGAATCCAGGAAACCAAAAGTAGCATTAGAAGCACGACGCAAAAAAAAATCAAGCATGCCCAAGATCCTTTCAGCCTCCATTGTATGAGGTGGAGCAGATAGTGTGGTTATCATTTCTTTAGATGGATTTGAGAGATTGCCAGTCAAATACCTGGCCATCTGTCTTTTGAGAACTGTCATTGTGTAGCTTATCAAAGCTGATAAAATCTTTACCAAAATATTTTTATTTTTTATTACACGAAGGGATTGGTATACCTTATCTTTTTTAATATTTAATACTTGACTAAAAATATCCACACCTGTATAGAGAATTGATTCTGGATTACTTTTGAAGTAAGCTAATTTCCTTATTGCTTTCTGGAAAATGTCATCCTAATAAAAAAATAATTTTTGTACATTTTTTAAACTACTTTATTTGTTTATTAAAAAACCTTAAAAACTTACAAACTCAACTCTTTCCTGTTGCATTTTTATAAACCAGACTCATCCATGACCCAGTTATTATTTTCCTATCAGGCCCAACCCTTACAGTTACACAAGCTTAATATCATTACTCATATCTTGAAGTAAGAGCTGGCAAATTTTATTTTTGGAGTTGCTAGAACAACAAGAAAATGTTAATACATGGAATTCTATTAAAACAAATATTCATCTAAAAAAAACTTACTTTTCAAGAAAGGTTTTTATAAGTCTTTCGTATGTAACAACAATCCCTGCCATATGGAACAAAACATGAAATCTACTACCAACATATCTAAGGAATAGCCCTGGAGCAACATTGTTTTTTTTAAGATAGCTTTTGAATGCTGCATCGTCTTTAAAACTATACCTGATTTTTAAAGGGCAAAAAAATTAAAATTTCAAATTTTCAAAACTTGGAAATAATAAAGAAATAATTGCTTACATGATAATAAAACTAAAAAAAATAAATAAATAATGAAAGATAAACATATAAAAGATTACCTTAGCTTAGAAATATTTTTGAGAACTGTTACTGCAACCCCATCAGTTCCTTTAGCCGGTTTTATCTTTAACTCATTATCAATTGTTTTAAGAGCTAATAATGCTTTTAAGGCAATAGTTTCCAATGGATAAACATCGCATTACAGTTGCATTAGTTGAATGTCCATCTCCTCCTGAAGCATGTTTTTCACACAACTATTAACAGGTGCTCTGTCTGACAGACAACTTTTGATTTTTTGAGTGAATACATCTAAAACTTCTATTGCTGGCATATTCTTAAACTCTGCAAATGTATTGGGAAGTTCTTTTATTACACTGACAATATGAGTGGCACAGTCAAATCCTGTACCTCCAGCAAGTTTAGCGGTTGATAAGGAATAACATCTTTTCGGAGGAAAGGTACTGATAAGAAACTCATTTACATGTTTGTCTAAAATGGTGGTTGCATCAAACACTACTGTTGCACATTTACAATGAAAGAGTGCCTCACCAGCCTGAACCAATGCTAAAACACCTGGCTCATATGCCATTCGATTTACTGTGGATGAGTGAGGTGTTTCTTGCAGTTCTGTGTTGTGTAACAGTTAAGAAATTTTTTCTAACAAAAATGAGACACTTTCCACAGGCACATTGTTAATAATAGCAGCATAAACACATTTTCTTATGGGTAGGTTATATGTTTTTAATTTTTTGGTTTCTATAAGTAACCTATTATCTTTTTTTTTCTAAAACAATACTAGTTAAATAATGATTTTGTTCTACAAGTTGTTTATTTTCTTGCTCTTTGATTTTTATCTGTCCCTGTAATTCTTTGATAGCAATTTTGTGTTTCCTTTCTATCTTTTTAACATTTTGTTGCAACTTCGTTCTACTAATTTTAAGAATTCTCAATTCATTAATGAAATCTAGAGAATGTAACTTATTCTGCTGAACTGTTTTTTTTTTCTTCTGAATATTTCAATTTCCACAAATTTAGTGAAAAATACTGTCTTTTAAATGCTGCAATTTTCTGTTTTTTTCATGTAAACATTTCATCTTTTTTTATTTTGCATGAACCACACTTTATTCTCTGCATTGTGTCTGAAGCAATATTTAAATCACTTGCAACGTTTAAGTGAATATTTGTATTAAAACTATTTCTTTTTCTTTCATATTTAAATGGTTGCTGCAAAAAACTAACAATAGCAGCCCATGACTGGATAGGGTTTTTTCAAAGATTCTTATCTTTTTATGCAAGTATCTTATATTGTTGGAGAATATTTTAAAATCAGATGCATTTTAAGGTCCAATGTTCAGTTTTTTTAATTTCAGACAAGTTTTTGATAATTTGAAATTATTTTCAGAAAAAATTTTCTAAATATCACCATCTAACAAAGGCTTCGATTGGCATTTATATGAATTAATTCAAACGCAAATATCTTTTGCAGTCTTTTGGCAGGATTCGTTAACAGTGAAAAAATGGCAATTTTTAAAAAATTTTATAACTATAAACAAGTTTAACCTTCACTTTAAACGAAAAAATATAATAAAAATTGACAGTTTATTTTTCAGCTAGCTTTTAAACACTATTTCTTTTATGCATATAGCATAGTTTGGAAAGACACGGAAATCCAGAAACTTTATAAAAGCGATGTCAAAATAAAAAAACGGACGCTTACGAGGGTACCTATATATATATATATATATATATATATATATATATATATATATATATATATATATATATATATATATATATATATATATATATATATATATATATATATATATATATATATATATATATATATTAGTAAATACTCATAACACAAAACAAATTTTTATATTGAAAAAAAGTTGAAGCAATCACCAGAAAAATATCATAAATATAGTACATATTTATCTGAAGTTTAAAAAAAAAAAATTATTGAAATCCTACAGTCAGATTTTAAGAAAATCGATTTCAAATAAATAAACAAATCTTTGAGTTACACTAAAAAGTTGTTAATTGAAAATAAACTTAAAGTACTCTAAAATATTTTTTATCCTTTTTATATATATATATTTTTGTGAAAATTTTGTAATAATATACTGATCTACATAAAAATAAGGCTACAACATTGAATTTTTAGAAACCAAATAACAAATAACGCGGTTGCCATATAAAATATACTCTGTAGTTAAGAACCGTAGCCATTTTAAAAGTTCAAAAATTTTTCGCATTTTCTCACGCATGCGTACCTGAACATAGCGCTTGTAAACGACCGTGTCTTCGATGCAACTTCAACAATAACCCAGGAAAATTTGTCTTTGGTATTGTACCTTTGATGCGACTTTCTTTTCGCCAACATTCTAGAATTCTCTTCCATTCTTTCTTCATGGATCTAAAAACTGCGACATCCATCGGTCGAAGGAGATGAGCTACATTTGGTACCAAACAGGTGAAACAAATGTTATTCAGTTAAGCGGCCTCAATGACTGGAAGAGAAAAATGAGAGGCAAGATTGTCAACAAAGATGACTTTTGGTCCATGATTTTTACAAACGTTAGAAAGAAATATTTCTAGAAACCAGCGTTCGAAGGTTCTTGAGTCGAACCAGCCTGACTTTGTGTTGTCATAAAAAGTTCCTTCTGGGCCACCTCTGGTCCATTCTTGATAAACATTTTGAGACTTATATACTACCATAGGTGGTAGGAATTGAAGGGCCGCTGACAACTGAGTTTCTGAATGTGAACGATAAGCGCGACTCCCGTCCTTCTTCTTGTAGATCCTCATATTACAGATAGGTAGGTATATACTTTTAGGCATATAAAAACACATGTTTTTATAATTTTTTATTACTGTTTAGAATACGTTTTTTACACTCTTTTAGAAAAAAGTTACAAAAAACTTGGTAAATTATATTTTATTTTTAACAATTTTGTTTTTTACCTTTCAAATCAATATGGTGAAATCTTTGTAAACTTTTGATTAGTGTTTATTTATTTTTAACCAGAAAATAGAAAAAGTAGTAAAATAGTATTAAAAATAAACTACGATAATATAAAAAAAAGTAGTTCTAAATATATATATATAATATATAATTCTATATATATATATATAATATATAGCAGCTATAAAAAACATGAGCTTGTATATATATATATATATATATATATATATATATATATATATATATATATATATATATATATATATATATATATATTAGGGATATGACTTTTTAAAAAAAAATTTCCCTGGCCCAAAAATGGATGAGTTTTTACGCATAAAATGCGAAAATATTAATACTTTCACGATGTTCAAAAAAAATGTCACGCCCCAAAGCACATTAAGATTTAAAAAGGTTTTAAAAAAATTAATGACCAAAATCATTTCTATTTGCAAACATGTTCATTCATATGATTCTATAAAAAAAAATAATTTATTCTAACAATTAATACATGGCATAGTGTTATATTCAATGCAGTAAAAAACATTTTATACAATTTAAATACATACAGTTATTGTTTATTAGACAAAATGAACGAAGTGGAAGATTTTCTTTATTTCTGCACAATCTATAAAGCTCCTCCATTACTTTAATTGCTCTTTCAGCACATTGATTACTTCTGGGAATGTTGATTGCTGATGGCTCTGGATTCCAATGACTTGTAAATGTAGCAAGAGGTTTCTTTTTGTTTAATAAAACTTCATGAAGGTCTGAATAAGTGTTTTCTTTATAGGTTTGGTTGTCAAACCAAAAATCTGCCCACTTGTAAGAAATAAAGGTACATACAGATTCAAGTTTGTTTCTTGTTTTTGGCATAAGAATGCCAAAGCTAACAACGCTAAAATAGCTCTTGAGCTCCACCGAGCATTACTGATTTTTTGAAATCTTACATTAGGAAATATTTTATTTTGGTCATAGTATAGGTAGGTTCTCGTCAGATGAAACAGAAACTTCATGTCATCTCGCCATCCTCCTGTGTCTTTTATTTCTTCTGTACCATTATAAAAATTTATCTTCAGTGTTTCATAATGTTCTAACAACTCATTAGTAAAAAAGTAATTAATGTTTGGTGAGTTCGGATTTTCTCCCAATTTTTCTTCCATTTCTAGTCTAAGTATTCTATCCAAGATATGATGTTGACATGGTACAAATTGAGGTTTTTGTAATCCTTTTTTTTTGTAAAATGTCCTGAAGTTTTACAACAACACCATTTTTCTTTCCGGTATTGACATTTGTAGTATCTGTCACAATCATTTTAATTGAATTCCATAGTTTAAATTCATCTATAATATCAGCTATGGCATTATTAATAGTAATAGATTTTCCATCTATTAATTTCAGTGCGCCCAACTTTATTTCGCTTCTTTCATTTTTAAGAACGACAACCTGATACTCACATTGGTCTATATGCTTTCCATCGAAGTGTAGACTCCAATTCTCATTCTTTAAATCTTGAATTAAAGTTTCTTTAAATTGTTTTGCTTCATTAAAAAGAGCCTTGTATATTTCAGACTGTGATGGCGCTGGAACATGTATGCCTTCTGAGGACAGTATTTTACCTATTTTAGAAGCTTTCTTAGTTGATACCTTAGCACAAACCACTAACTTTGTTGCTATTTTACAACTACTATATTTTTTACGTCTTTTCTTCAAATTATTATACTCTTCATCTATAATTTCATTATCTATCTCAAATTGTTCATCAGTTTCTTCAAATTTGGAACTAGTTGTCGCTTTCTATTTTACTACTTTCAGAAGAAGTTATAAGTTTGTGGAAAGAACAATTAAATTTCCCATGTCTGACAGAGCAGTCAGTGAAGCGAAAGATTAATGATGTTATAGAAAAATATGAAAGTCTCAGAAAAAAAGGAATGCCAACCTTCTGCAAAAAGAGATTTTTGATATAACAAATCAAAATGGCATTTGGTTATCATCTGAAGATAAAAGATTTTATGAAATGAAGAAAAACTTTTAGATGCTGAAGGTTGGCTGGAAAGTTTTTGCACAATTGATGGATGAATAGTCTTCTTTCCTGCCAGCTTTGATATAGCATATCCAATTTCTCCTTTGCTTTGTAACTGAATTTCATAAAATCTTTTATCTTCAGATGATAACCAAATGCCATTTTGATTTGTTATATCAAAAATCTCTTTTTGCAGAAGGTCGGCATTCCCTTTTTTTCTGAGACTTTCATATTTTTCTATAACATCATTATTCTTTCGCTTCACTGACTGCTCTGTCAGACATGGGAAATTTAATTGTTCTTTCCACAAACTTATAACTTCTTCTGAAATAAGATCTATCCTTTGCTTTTTGGCTTTCACATCAGTACTAGACTAGGCTTTCACATCAGTACTAGTAACATTAAAATTCCACCTCTACCCCATTCATCAGTTAAATAAAAGCAGAAAAGGTAAAGAGACAAAACCTTTTATTTTAACATATTTTATTTCAGCTGTAATCCACAGGACATATTTTTTTAAAAATAGTTTTTCTGAAATGTATATATTTGTATCGTTTATTGATCAACTATATTGAAGTAATGGTAATGATTAGGTCTCTATAGAGACATAAAGACTTATAGAGACCTGTGTTTTTTGCCAACTAGATCTAGTTGGTAAAAACCACAAATCTCAAAAGGTGTTGGTTTCTACTTCATCAGCATTCTGCACACAGTGTCACGAAATGGTCATCAACCTTAACCTCATGTCCCGAGAAAACCTTTTGGTGGGATGATAGCCCACATATAGTAGATCACTTAGATATAAATTTGGAAATCGAACTATGACGTCCGAGAGAGATATTTTAGTTTTTATTTTCTTCAATTCTGGCATATCAAAATTTAAACGAGATGATAGGAATTTGGCATTTTTTCAGTATTTATAGAGCAAAAAGTTAATTTTCCCATATATTTCTATAAGACATATAAACAAAAACATATTTTACAATAAAATTGATTCTTTTTATTCTAAAATGAATGTTTGCTGTTGAAATCAATCACACAATTCAGAAGCTTTTATTCATATTCTGGATGGTTTCTTGCCCGTTTGTAACGCTGCCAATGGGAACTGAAGTCGTGATGAAGAGATTCTGTAGCTTGCTCTGAGAAAATGCCAAGACTAGAATTGTGTCTTTTTTTTAACCAGAAATAAATTTAGAAGTTACAAGTATGTAATTTAAACCTTATTTAGTAAGACCTAATATTGTTTTATAAAATAATAATTTTGACACAAATGTGGTCAATCAAACCCACTGTGTGGTTAGCTTTGTTATCTTTAGTAAGGATAAAATTAGTAAGCAAGCTCCTTATTTTTACAAAGTTTTGGTTAAAGTTAGAAAATTAGTTATTACTTGTTAACATAACTAAATGTTGTTCTACTAATGTTTAAACTAAGTTTAAAGGTTCTACTAAATTTAAACATAAAATAGTAATAAAATTATGTTTAAAACATAATGGAATTTGAAGATGGACATAATTTAAAGATTTATCTAGATTAAATTTCAGTCGTGTAATAACATTATTCAATTTCAAAAAACTGAGAAAAAAAAAAGTAAAGAGTAAAGAAAAAAAAATAAATAAAGAAACCAAAAAAAAGCAAAACAAAAAGAAGTCAATTTTTATCAAAAAAAAAAAAAATTTAGCAAATAATAATTGTTTAACTTAAGTACAACGGTCCCAAAAAAAAAAATTTATCAAATGATAATTGTTTAACTTTAATACAAAAAAGAAAAACGGTCTTAAAAAAAACAAAAGAAAACAAGTAAAAGTTTCTACAACTTCAAAAAAAAAAAAAAAAAAAAAAAAACATATAAATGTTGTAAAGAAAATTTTAATTATTATCTTAAGCTGTTGATGTTTAGCTCTAACATTGCTAAAATAGCGTCAACAGAAGTCATCAAATTGTAATATATCAATTAAATTATCAAACTATAAAGCTCAAAAAAATAAAATCTTGTATTTGTATATTTGCTGCATTGCATTAGGTATTGTTTCATTGATGATTTATATCTTTTGCTGCACTATCAAAAAATTGGAATCAACTGCAAACAAAATAACTTTTGATGAATTGACGTTAAAGATATATTGTATAAAAATCAAAGCTTCTAATTTAAAACCTTGTGAAACTCCACAAGTTATTAGTTACTTAAAACTCAGTGAAACTCCACAAGTTATGGTATTTTTGGTCATTTTTACGTTTTCACGTGAAAAATTTGTTTTCTATTTGACAAAAGTTTTTGTAAAACATAGTAGGTTTGCATATCTTATTTCATAATGTTCCACTATTTTTTTATTAGGATGGAGTTATTTATAGAGTGAAAAGCTTTAGACGCTATATTCATTAATCGAGTTTTTTACTTGTTTTCGATTACTATAATACAATATAAATAAATAATAAAAAACAACCTTATTAATCAGTTATAATAAATAAAAACTAACAATTTAAAGTTTAGTTCATATTGTTTCTCTTTACTCGAAACTTTTTCCAAAGCAAAGCAACCATGGCAGCTGAATGTAACCGGTAAAAAATAAGTAAAGGATAAAACAACTTAAACATAAACAGCCACACGTTTTCTCCCCAGTAATGTTCTGAAATCCAGTATACACGCTGAAACATGTAGGGAACGCCAAAAAGAGTGTCGTTTATCCAAAGTGCTGCGTTTAACACAAACAAAAACATCAGCCACTGCCCGATGCGAGCAGAAGAACATAGCTTATTCGAAATAATCTTTTGACGAGAAATATCTAAAGCCAAACTATAACTAGTGTCAGTAAGCGCAACACGTTTATAAAAGCTGCAAGTTATTAGAAAATACATTTGAACAAGAACACCAAAAACATTCATTACTGCGAGCACACATAACAAAATGCGAATCAAGAATTCATGAGATAAAATATTATCGGCAACTGGTATAGGAAACTGATCATTTTTATATTCGATCTTTTTTGTAACTGAAAAAATAACCGCAATAAAAAACGGCAAATAACCCATTAAACCAGTTATTAATAATAAATAATCTTCTACTTTATATTTACGATCTCCAATAACTTTTATATGATATTTAAAAATTTCTTTCATTACACATATCGACGCAACTGTAATCAGTAAATGAATTGTTATCTCTGCTGAATATTTGAACAAAAGGTTTTCCAAGAAATCGAAGTTAAATTGCACACTCCAGGATGATAGTAATACGGTTGTTGAAACAATTATGCCTATTAAAACTCCAGGATCTGATTTATAAAATTTTGAATCGTCTGTTTTAACAGAGTCAATGAGGTCATAATCAGAATTTTTTTGCGTACTATGGCTTTTACTAATCGCCTTGAACGGATACATAAAAAAAAGTACCAAAGATAAAAGTAATGCATACTCCAAAACAAATGGTTGAAGATATATAGTGATACTGGAAGCAATATTAAATATATCATTTTTAAAACTAAGTGAGCAATTAAAACTGTATTCTTTTGTATCTAAACGCTGTGTACTGTGTGCTGTACGATCGATATATGTCTCTTGACATAGAAAAGCAAACCAAATACAAACATTTGTTGAAATCATTTGCAAGATGAGCAATTTGAATAAAAACTGAAACGACTGTTTTATCTTTGCGCCATAAAATATCTTAAATAACAAAAAAGTTTTATTAATTTCAAAAACTCAAAAATTATTTATTAGTTGTAAGAATTTGTTCTAGGCATTATATAGGCTATATGTGTATATATATATATATATATATATATATATATATATATATATATATATATATATATATATATATATATATATATATATATATATATATATATATATATATATATATATGTATATATATATATATATATATATATATATATATATATATATATACTTATTTAGTATATATATATATATACTTATTAAGTATATATATATATACTTATTTAGTATATATATATATATATATATACTTAATAAGTATATATATATATATTTACTTAATAAGTATATATATATATATATATATATATATATATATATATATATATATATATATATATATATATATATATATATATATATATATATATATATATATTTATATATATTTATATATATATATATATATATCTTTTTTTTAAAACTTTTTATTAAATCTACGAACCAAATCTTCCATTTAGTGAAATAATCTATAACGCCAATAACCTATCATATCATTGGATAACTAGTTAAATTTAAAAAATCCTCAAAACTAAAGCAAAAGTTCTTTGTTAAGAATTTAAAGATAAATCAGTTAATTCATAAAAACACTTGAACAATTTGTAAAAATGTATTTAAAAAATTTCGAAAAAAAAGCTATTTACGATTATGAAGCACAATCATAACTTAAAACAAGCTCAGCAAATAAGGAACTGCTAATTTATATAAAACAAGCGCAGTCTTTACTGCAAATAAATTTTGAAAACTGCAAGAAAAATTGAAAACTACTGAATGAATTGAATGAAATCTTCCCCGAATACAACCGTTTTCTTTTTAACAACAGGACAAACTCTATCAAATAGGATTTCTTAAATAGATAATAACTTCCTTGATGAATTATATCATTAGAGAATTGAAATCAAACCCAAAATATAGTTTGAAATGGCATTTAAAGCATTGGAAAGAAATAAATCAAATGGACCTGTTGATATAAATTGGAATATTTTAAATGATTCTTTTAATGTGATTAAAAATATCCTCTCCACAATTTTCAAAGCATCTATTACTCAAGGATCTTTTCCAGTTTGAAAATAACAAAAATAACTCCAAAACAAACGAATAAATTCTCATCTTACCTCAGGTCTACGTTCTAAAAGATATCTTAGTATATCTGTAAACAACTTGTTTATGCTGAGGAATTATCTTCGCAATTATTAGAGAATGTAATGTGTTGTGTTCCACGAAGATACATATTTGAGCCACAAGTTAATGTAATAGTCTTAAATTTATACTCCTGTCTTGAAAATAAGTCCAAACCTCTCTTTTCGATTGCTTAGAACAGGCAGCCAATCTAGAATCTGATCTCGCCTCTGTAACAGATTGGGGCTCACAGTGACTTGTAAATTTTAACTCTTACAAAAAAAGTTATTCACTGCAATTAACTATTGCAGTATTATCAACATTTCTATATTTGTGAATGGCAAACTTCTCACAGAATCCTCTTCATAGTCCTCTTTATGTCATCTTTGATTATTGTTTACTCTGAACTTTTATTAAAACCATATATACAATCGATTGCTAAATTAGCATCTGCTCTTTATTGTGCTTGCTGATTTCTCTCTCCTGATTCCATTATCTACAATTTTCATTCACTACAAACCTCTACAAACTTCTTATTTGTCCCTGTATGGAATACTGTTGTCATATTTGGACAGGTTCTTCTCATAACTCTCTTTCTCCTTTAGACCAGGTCTAAAAACACATTACAAAAGTAGTTGGACCCGGTCTATCTGCTAAGCTTGAGCCTCTTCCCCATCGTCGTAATGTTGAATGTCTTTCTCTCTTCTACAAATACTATCATGTTTGCTGCTCAAGGTAGCTATCATCTCTAGTTCCATCAACTAAAACTTATTCCCACCTGACTCGTCATTCACCTAAGTCTCATTCTTTTACTGTCTCTACATTCTCTAATAACTTTTATTTTTTTAAATTTTTTCGCAGCGCTTCAACCCTTTGGAACTCTCTCTCATCTTCATGTTTCCCTGACTCATACAATCTTCAATTTTTTAAGTCTTCTGTTAATCGTTTCTTTTCTCTATAACTTTTTTTTTTTTTTTCTAATAGCTCCTAACCTAATAGCGGTTGCTTGCAGCCTTGTAGGTAGTGAATTAATTTTAAAAATTTATTAAATTACTACTTTTTAAAATTAATTGTTGGTAGTAAATTAATTTTAAAAAATAATTATAAATTGTTTAATAGATATTTTCCATCATAACAGTCCATTAGACATTAGTATAGTAATTATTATTATAAAATTTTAATTAAAATAGACATCTTTTTATATTGAGAATTATTTTCTAAAAACAAAGTTATATTATAAATTTAAAAAGAAATAATATTATTTTTTTTAAATTTCATTAATAAAGTTAAATTTAGATTAAATTAAACAATTTAAAAAAATTTTGCAATCGAACATCCGCTTTTAGTTTAAGAACCGTCAGTCATCCGAAATGCATTTTTTAGAAGCTGATCTTGGACGGAGATTTCCATTAAACACTTAGACCATTAAAACTCAGTTTTAATGGTCTAAGATTAAACTTGTAGCACTTTTTTTTTAAAAAAAAACTCCGCGTGAGAGCGCGAATAAACTGTTACCTCTATTTAAAAATAGAATTTATCGTGACGTAAAATTAGTACTTCGGTATGCAAAAATGTTGGTCAATAACAGGCGCTACTTTGGATTAGTCTTTATGACTATTTGTGGCTGTTCCTATGCTAAGTCAAAAATATCTTCGGATATAAAAACATTGTATAGAAAAATATAGCATGAAAGTTCAAATAAATAAAAAAAATTAAAATAAAATAGAAATACTAAAATATTTTTCAATTTCAAGTTTTTAGAAAGTTTTGACATTTTTTTAGATTTTTATTATTTACTCCTCAGGGCCGACAAAACAAATTTCTAAGTAGAGGGGCACAATCATCAATTTTTTAAAAAAAAGTTTTTTATATTCTAAAAGTTTCTCTAAAAAAAGATCTTTGAAAAAATGTTGAGTGATCCCTAGCCAACACTCCTACCCGAAAATTTATAACTTTAATGTAAATCTCTTTGTTTTTACTTTTAGTTGATATAGAAATTCAGTAAGTTTTGAAACCAACAGCAATTCACACACTATCTAATCTCAGCAAAAACCAGAAAACTATGTTGTTTTTTCATCTTTAGCAGCAACACTATTTGTCAAACCAAAGCCTAAAAAACTTGAAAACTAACATACAAAGTTAAATTATGTTAAATGTACAAAAAATTCACGTCAATATTAAGTATGGCTAAATAACCGATCCATACATGCCTTTTTCGATTTTAAAGGCGACGTTACTGGAATTTAATAATGTTGTTTAAGGAATCGGGTAACCTAGCATACTCCATTGTTATTATGCTCATCTAGATTAAAAGTGTTTTTATTTTGAGTTTTGTTTGCGCAACTATTAAAAAAAAAATTTACAAAATTGTATCATCATGGTGTCGTAGGGCTAAGCAACAGATCAGCATGACACCATGGGGTAGGGCTCAAAAATATACTGAAAACTTCACGCAAACCAAAAGAGATCCAAAGAAAAAAGATTTTTTGTCAAATAGTTCAGTAAAACGAACTGCTGAAAAAAAAAAAACGAACTGCTGAAAAAAAAAAAAAAACGAACTGCTGAAAAAAAAAAAAACGAACTGCTGAAAAAAAAAAAAAAACGAACTGCTGAAAAAAAAAAAAAAAATGAAGCAGTATTATAATTTTTCTACAATTTTTTTTTGCAATAAATTTTTGCAATAAATTTTGATAAATGAAAACATGTTAAATATCCTACAATTTTATCAACATAGATTTAAGGAAGAAGACATCATTTGAAATTTAAAAGAACCATTTTGACACAACTGCTGTAAATCATACCGAATGCAAAATGTCAGCATCAACTTTTCTGAACAAGCTTTGCGATATTACATTTTAAAAACTGCCAACAATGCTGTTGGGTGCTAACGAATTAGTAGATATCTTAGAAATCAAAGAAATGTCACAAGGGATTGTGATACATTTATTAATAAAGCTATGATGTGCGAGATTTTCCTTAGATTTTTTCGGCTAGTTAAAATAAACGCTGCCACAATTTCTGATTGTATCATTTAAGAATGGAAAACATTAGGTTTTCTCCTTAGTAATTTGGTTAGTCAATATTATAATGGATGATCCACAATGGTTAAAATGAAAATGGTGTCAAGGTAAAGGTTATAAGGACTAATCCTAAGGCCGTTGTTTGTTGCCTCACGTAGACTCAATCTCCTTGTTAATGATCTAAATGTTGTTGCAATAATACAAAGTACTATTGTGAAAAACAATGATTGTACTTTTTTGTGAAAGCCGAAAAAATAAATTTTTTCTCAAATATTGTTCTTTAATGAAAGACAAAATGGACGAGGAAAAATTATTTACATTTTTTTTTTTTAATTTGAAAGTATTTATATTTAGCTGGGTTTTATGGTTATTTTAACAACTTTAGGCATTATTTTTTTAGAAAAAAAAAGGTTTACTGCAGAGTAAAAAAAAAAACAAATTATTGAATAAAAATTAAAGTTTGTCGATCGATTTTAAGCCTTTTTAAATTTCTTTAGACTTTTTAGAATTTAACACCATTTAAGATAAATAGGTTTTAAACTGTATCTAGAAACTTAATTGCGGCTTTAGTTCCCACTCTCCAAATTTTTCAAAAACATTTTCATTTATTATAAATATGAATATGTTTATAGTTTTGAATTAAGTTTATGTTTAAAAGTTTCTTATTCCAAAAATTTGGCAAAAAACTTTTTTTGTAAAATTGGCGATTAATGAGTATTAAAAATAATATATATTACATACATGTAATAATAAGTAACTGAAATAAAGTAAACTAAATTTAAATAAATATAAAATAATATATATTACATACATTTAATAATAAGTAACTGAAATGTAAATAAATATAAATGATATAAATATGCATTTTATAATACTTTGTATTAAAATGTGTACTGAAAAAAAAAAAAAAAAAATTATACCTGAACAAACAAAAGTTGAATCAATATATACAAAACTCGTGCAATATGAAAAAGGAATTGAATTTTGTAATGACTTTTATCTGTAAGTGACTTAACTGAAAATCCGCAATGAAACGCACTAACTATGGAAAACATATCCAATAACAGATTTCCAATAGCAAATATATAAGCACAGCTAATTAAATACTTAGTTGATATATATCCCCACTTCTTAGCTTCATCTTCAATTTTAATTTCAAAAGTTGCTAATTTTTTATTATTGCGGTAAAAAATAGCGATTGACATTCCAATGATAGATATAATTAAAAATAAAAATAAAACCCAGTAATGCGATGTATATAAAAATTTGTTAACGTTGGAATTGTATTGAGCTACAGTAAATGTTACTCCAACAAAAAATAAAGAAATCACCCACACGAAGGAAACAATATTTTCTGTTCTGTTGCTACACTTAAAAGCACAAAATGTACTCACGAAGCCATTCAAAGAACTCAATAGCCAGTTATATCGTCTTACTTTTACATCTCCAATACCAATATGCTTTGGAGTAATTGATATCTCAATGCTTCCATTTTTTCTGTACAAAACATGGTCTCCAGATTCTCTATTATCATTATTTACTGTTGACATGAGTGTTTCAATAGCATCATATCTTCTATTTTTTGCGGAGGTTTCTCCCATAATCAACGAATCCATCTCGTTATACCTTTCTTCATTTTCGGTATTTTCTAATAATGCGTCCATTATTTATTAAAATATTTTATTAAATATATATTAAAACAAACTAAAATATTTCTAAAATCTAGAAGTAAATATATATATATATATATATATATATATATATATATAAATATATATATATATATATATATATATATATATATATATATATATATATATATATATATATATATATATATATATATATATATATATATATATATATATATATATATAGTATATATATATATATAATATATAAATATATAATATATATATATATATATATATATATATATATATATATATATATATATATTATCTAATTAAAATTTCTTTATATATAATATATATATATATATATATATATATATATATATATATATATATATATATATATATATATTATTTAATTTTTTTTCTTCAACAACTTGTTTCTCTATCAGCATATATGTATGTACAGGGGCGCACAGAGATTTTATGATGCCCGGGGTGTATTATAAAAAAATCTACTGGATACCCCCCACACCTACTTCCACCACCAAAATAAAAATAATAATAATAAAGATATTGTTTCTAGTATTCACAAAATATTTTTAAAATTCTGTATTTAAGACGGTTCACGAATCAAACAATTAAACAATGCAAAGAAAAAAAAACACTTCTAGATTTAGTATCAAGTTTTTCTAATGTTACCAAACTTTACGAGCTTTTCTAGCAGCAAAGTTGAAAGTTACAACATCGTAATTAACTTTCTTCTCAAGATCTGTTTCTCTTGAAAGGATCTGACAGCCGTTAAGACGATCCTGTCCCATGCTAGCTATAGAGAGTTCCTGACGAGAGCTAACTTGCTAAAAAGTCTCTCACCTTCAGCCACAGATTGTCCCGTTAGGTTCTAAATGATTTTTTTTCATATTAGAAGAATAGCAAACAAATCGTTTTTTTTTTCTATGTATGTATGTATGTATGTATGTAAATATGTATGTATGTATGTATGTATGTATGTATGTATGTATGTATGTATGTATGTATGTATGTATGTATGTATGTATGTATGTATGTATGTATGTATGTATGTATGTATGTATGTATGTATGTATGTATGTATGTATGTATGTTTGTTTGTTTGTATGTTAGTCCATCCCATTTCGACCCTTGTGACCAATTTTTAATACGCGGAGTGTCATAAAATACTTCTAAGATATTGTTTTCTTAATGAAATTATTTATCTTTTATATTGGATGACTGTTTATACTTATAAAGTTTAAATATTTTACATTTTTGGAGTTTTTAAGAGTATTTTCTTACAATCGGCGAGAATAGAAATTTAAAAATTAATAATTATAAAATAAAGTCATTACAAATAATGGAAAGCTATCTATAACGATTGTGTGCATTTTTATAAATATTATTTTAGTTAAATAGTGGTATTTTAAAACCGCTTTAACTTGTTATGAAATTAAAAAAACATGGTTTTTAAACACGATAGCATTGAGGCCCAATACACAACAATTAGAAATTTGTTAGATTCTTTTGATCTCATACCAGTGCCGGATCAAGGGGGCTAGGGGGGCATCCTTGCCAAATCAAGGGGGCTAGGGGGGCCCCTAAACTTGCAAGCCCCGCAAATTTAGGGGCCCCCAAAAATTTTAAAGGACCTTTTTTTTTTATTTTTTATTTTAGTCATTTTTAGGCTCTGGCCCAAAAAAAGGCCTCCAAAAACAAAAATAGCCCCGGGCCCCAAGAAGTCTTAATAAGCCACTGTCTCATACAGTTCACCCTCTTAAAGCCCTGGCTATTTAAAAGGGGTTTGTATAAGATTAGTTATGTTTTATGGCCGATCATTATTCTTGTTAAACTCCTACCATCATTTCGGAGAGCATTATATAGCCGTAGACGAAAATAAAACTGTTCCAAAATACGAGAAAATACGAAAATACGAAATACGAAAAAACACGAAAATACGAAAATACGAAATACGAGACGAAAATAAAACTTAAAAAGTTGGAGAATAAACTAATTCATTTTACGATAAAACTGCTTCACTTTTAAATACCTTTTTGCAAAATTAAAAGGTGTGTGTTTCTAATTTTAAAATTATTTACATATAAACTTTTAAAAAGTGCAGAGTTTATTGTGAACTTGCGGAAAAAAATCAGACCATTATGTGAAAATTAACAAATATGGAGCTGTTTTAGATGCCTTGAATTTCACATGCCTTTTTTCATTTAAGTTGCATTTTTCTAAAATCAGACAGGATTTCATTTTGAGTAATAAAATACTCAAAGAGATCAATTGAATGGCTGATTACAAATCTCTCTCCTGGGATATTTTACCTGCTACTTTTGTGATTCTGCAATTTTTAAAGTAAAACTTAATTTCATAAGTTATGATATTTTAGTCTTATTATTTAAGAAAAATTTATTACATAAAGAAACAAATTGTTTAATAACAATGGTTTGCGAAACGGTTTAAAATCTCAAACACCAAAAAATGCAAGATCCTTCACTGATCTGTGGTTCGATGTCTACTCCAGGTTTTATTTTTTTGATATAAAGCAGGCTTAAATGCTCTTCTGCGATGCTCTGTGATAAGACCATTAGGTCTTCTTGGAGCACCTCAAACAATCACATAAAAATGCGTATATAAATTTTTAAATCACATTGATACTTTTTGATCTAGTTTAGTTTATAACAAAAGATCAAAAATCATTTATCTAATATTTCAAGAAAATCATTTTGGATGGATTAGTTTAATCCAAGACTCCAGTAAAAGTATTTTTTTAAAAAACATCATTTGATACCAAAATTAAAAAACAGATTTTATTAAATGTTCTAACCTGCCTCTAAATGAAAACTTACTCCTTTTTACAAATCAAACACCTGTTATTTTTCATAGTTTCAAAAATATCTGTAATCTTTATTTTAAAAAAATTGTTAGGATATGGGTAGTAACCGATCAACTAGTAGTATATTAACAAACTTGATTTGATCACTGTTCTAAATATTAGGAAATTTTAAAAACAATATAAACTAATGATTTTAAAACATCAACTAATAGCTATTTTTAAATCATTGATTTTTGAATACACCAACTTTTATCTTATTTAAAATATCAACTTTTAAATATATAAACTTTAAAAGCGACAATCTTGATTAAAAAAGATTAACAAATACATTAATCATGATCTTGGCAATTTAGTTCAGTAGCTTCGCTCAAATAAGTTTCCTTTCAACTGTAGCAACTGTAACTGGTCATATTTAAATCTAATAAAACAAAAATCAATAAAAAATTTAAGCTTTAGATTAAGTGGCCAGAAAATCATTCCTATAAACTCTATCAAATATCTTGGAATTATAATTGATTTCAACCTATCGTTTGTCTCCCATCTTAAAGACTTAGCCATAAAATTGAGCAAATCAAATGGAATGCTGGCAAAAATTCGCTAATATATATATATACATATATATATATTTATTATATATAAATATATATATATGTATATATCTGTGTGTGTCTGTGTGTGTTTGTGTGTGTGTGTGTATGCGAATATATGTGTAGATGTATATAATATATACATATATAATACACATATATAACATTATTAAATGTGTGTATATATATATTTATGTTTGTATATGTGTATATATGTATGTGTTTATGTATGTATGTATGTGTATGTATATGTACGTGTGTGTATATACATATTTGTGTATTTTTACTCCTTCAACTTTTAATGTCGTTTTGTTAATGCTGTGGACGAATAATATTATTGTTAGCATTAACAATATATTTATTAGCTTTTATTTACAAGGTTTTTATTTAAAATTAGTACGTGTACTATTTGTAAATTTCCGTGAATGTGACAACTATTTCAGAATATATGAATTGATTTATTAATTGAATTGATTGATTACCTTTTTAGAAAAAGTAGACAAACTTAAACCTACTTTTTTTTTCTGATAAAAAAACAACTAATCGAATTGTTACTCTTGACAAAAGAACAGTTTGGGTAGTTTAGTTTTTAAAAATTATGAAAAAGTAAATACTTATTACAATTTCTAATCACAAAATAGGGAGAAGAAAGATCACTAAAATAAAAAAATAGAACTATAATGTTAATTTAAACCCAGGACGACCGCTTTACCTTCTTCGAAGTCGAATTTCTGTTTTTCCTTAACATCAGCTTCCATTAAATGAAACAGTTCTACGAAATTATCAGTATGTTATTACAGAAAAAAGTAAAAGGCTTAAGTCTACTCAACAAAATTTTTCATGCAAGACAAAGAGTAGGAGCAGGGATATGGTTTGCCTTTGCAAAGAACTATGTTATAAAAATATGGAGGTATACTAAGAAAAATTGTTAATATATGGAAATATACTGGGTTTAGAAACTATATGAATTCTGAAGTACAAATTGTTAAAAAATTTGTCGAACTAAATGAATTGTACATTTTGGTGCAAAATAAAAGTTATTTAGCCTGGAACACAGTAACCAAAAAAACACACATGAGAATCAATTTGAAAAATTTCTTGAAAATTTGTTTGATATTTCTCAAAAAAACATAAAAGCAAAAATAAAATCAGAAAAAGATAAGCCATATATCAAATGCTGCAGTAATAGATAGTGAAGATTTTTCTTTTATTCAAGATCAAAGAACATTGAGATGAGGTGTGATGAGGGAAAAGTATGACATTAATATGAAACAAAGAGTTGAAAGTAGTGATCAGCCGGAACTCATACTTTGCCAGAACCGGAACCGAACTAAAAAAATCGATTTTTATTTTTGATAACTGAAACCGGAACAGAATCCGGAACGGAATAATATATATTGTTTTTTAATTTAATTTAAATAAAGTATTAAATTAATAAAAATAACTAATAGCAGAATCCAACAACTGAAAGAGTTTCTCGAAAAAAAATCACGTTTCTCCGAATTTTCTGGATGGATTCTGTTTCTTTCGTTTGAGAGAATATCTCCAGCTGTAGAAAACAGTCTTTCAACATCTGTAGATTTTGGAGGTGTTGTGAGGTACTTTTTTGCCACCTTAATCAACGCTAACTTGATTTTGGAATTAGAATTTTTTCCATAGCTTTTCAAAAACTCAAGGCATTGAGAAGCCATTGGACTACCCGAATAATCATTCAACGCTTAATTTATCATTTTGGAAGATGAACGTGCATTTAGCCCTATTTGAGTTTGAGATTGTGCAATAGTATTTGACATTAAAACTGAAAAAATTCCATTTGTATCTTGGAAAGAGTAGAGTGGCACATGAATGTTCTATTTTTTAAAATGCTAAAAAATATTTTTTCATTCCATTTTTTATATATTTTTTTTAACTCCTGAACACTGATATTGCTAGTGGCTGTTTCCAAAGCTTTAATTATTGTTGTCACAATTTGAATACAGGAACTGATGCAAGAATCAAAGCCTGACAATATTTTTGTTGCCTTCTCAAAAACAATTAAAACGTTCACCAATTTTTCACAGAGGCTCCAATCTTATACAGAAAATTCAATTCCCATTGAAGAAAATTTGATTAAGGTGGTAGCAATGGCTCGCTTCAGGTGTAACGTTTGCTCAAGTATATAATAGAGGTCCATCTTGTGGCAACATCCCTTTTTAAGCCAAGTCTGAATTTTGTATCTATTTGGATTTCTTGCTGTCTGAAAAGGTCAGTGTAGAAAGCAGTAGAGTGGGATGCGTCAGAACAGAGTTTTTGACTCTTTGCAATCAGTCTGTCTATGACTTGATGTCAAAATAGTTCTGATAATTTTTGATGACAAGTTGAGGATAGTGGTTAAGATATTCAGCTGATATATAAATACAGTTTAGTTTATTAAAGGCTGTATTTACATTTACTGCATTGTCTCTTAAGCAAACTTTAATTTTTGAAGAAATTTCCCACTCCTCTTCTGCTGTTTCAATCTTGTTGAAAATGTTTTTTGCGGTATATCTTTCATCAAATTGAGAACAAGAGATGCAGAATTTGACACGGTTCCAATCTTTGGAAATAAAGTGAACCGTAATCCCCAGGTAGCCATGATTAAATGATGACCATGCATCAAGACAGACTGACACACTTTTATCTTCTGATTGTACCAACGTTTTCTTGAGAGCAAATTCTATTTTTTCATAAGTTGGATTCATTTAACATCTGCATTATTTTTTGTTAGCAATTTCGTAATTAGGAGCAACAAAAGCATGATGCCTCAAAAATCCCAGTATCATTGATAATAGACCACGGTTAGATTCAATAACCATCATTTCAATTATTGACTTGAATTTTTTGGTTTTTTTCAGAACTAGAGTCAATTTTTAAGGAAGCTTGAACCCAGTTTGGAATTGTAGATTTTAACATGGCATAAGTTTAATGTCACAATGATGATTTTTCAGGTGTGACGTTAGTCCATAAAATCATTGATTTTGGGGTCGTCTGATCCTTTTGAAACTTTGCCGTTGCATATTTTACATTGAGCTATTCTTGGATTGTTTGCTTCAATTATGAAGTATTTTCTTGCTAAACTTGTTTTTCTTTTTAAATTCATTTAGTTTGAAACTTGTTTGAAACAATAACTGTCTTATCCAATACTATAAATACTATAAATTTATTTTGTTAAAATACTTAATTATTTTGGCAAAAGCAGATGTATATAAATATACAACAGACGTTTTTCTTCAGCATGAATTGATTTAAACAAGTTTTTCTTCGGAAACATAAAAAAATTATTTGTTGCTGCTACAACGTATTTCCGTGGTTACACTGCATTAGCTATTATTAATAGTCATTTTTAGTAAGCTTTTATAAATATGTTTGTCATAATCAAATTCTAATTTTTTTAGTATGTTCTTATGTGTTTAACGGTAAAAGTATGCTTGAAAACAATTGTCTTTGCTTCATGGTCTTTTTTTTAACTAGCTGACCTTAATTATTAATTATTTTATGCACAATTTTTTGATTAAGTTTGGTTTTTTGTTTGATTCAAAATTGTAAACACTGTTTTAATTTACTGCAAACACTTTTTTAAGTAACTGTAAACACTGCTTTAATTTACTGCTAACACTGTTTTAATTTAATATAAACACTGTTTTAATTTACTGCAAATATTGTTTTAATTTACTGCAAATACCGTTTTAATTTACGGGCGAGATAGTTGCAAACACTGTTTAATTTACTGCAACTTTTAATTTACTGTAAACACTATTTTATTTTATATACGAGATAATTGCAAATGCTGTTATAATTTAACGCAAACACTGTTTTAATTTCTGCAAATACTGTTTCACTTTACGCACGAGATAATTGCAAACACTGTTTTAATTTACGCATGAGACAATTGCAAATATTTATAGTATAAATAAAAAATTTAGGGACAACTTTTATGTGATCTCTAGAATGCATTTAAAATAATTTTAAATAAATTCACGAAGACTTGAGTTTTTATAAAAATCACGAAACAAATTGCAAAATGCAGTAAATCTACTCTTTTCACTTCTAACCTATTTTCGGCCATTTTTGTATAAATCAAATTAAATAGCAACATCCTCAAAAATTCAGCATAAATTAATTTTTGCGTTCAACAAACTTTGTATTTAAACGTACTTCGCTTTTAATTACTAGTTTTAACACTTTGATGTTAAAATTAGTAATTAAAACCTGTTAAATGTAGGTGAAGTGGGGGCATAACCGCATATGGAGGCACAACCGTTTTTTAACATTTCTCTTCAAAAAATGTTATCTTATATAGCAAAAAACATTCCACGCGTTAGTAAAACAGTTTCCTTCATTTTGCATATGTCAAAAAGAGTGACTGTTAAGTTTCTGAAAAGTTGTGAATAATAATGTTTATTTTGATAAAAATATTATATTTACATCATATTTTTCATGACCTTCTTTTTGAGAATTAAGCAATATTTGACTTTAGTGTTAAAGATATGTGTTATCAACATTATTTCATGAAGTGAAAGCCATTTTTGATAATATCATAATCTAATAATTAAGCTATAAAACTGAATTCTTTCTAAAAACTCTCTTTTGGGGCAGAACTCTCTTTTGGAGCAGAACTCAAAATGTAAATAAAAGAATGTCTGCACAGTATGCAAACATGCAACAAAATTATCAAATAATCTGAGCTGTGAAAATTGTAAAAAAAATGTACCATGAAAGGTGTAGCCCCATCGATTTTTGTGAGGGTGCGGTTGTGCCTCACAATGGGGGCAAAACCGTTTTTTTCACTAAGTGTAATTTTTGTGTAATAACATTTCAAAACCTGTTCAATTTTTTTCTTAAATGCATCAATTTAAAGCTTAATAATGTGATTATTGAAAACACATTTCGTTTTTATTTTCAAATAACATTAATCCAAACGTTACGGGGGCGGTTATGCCCCCACTTCCCCTACCTAGCTCTTAAACTTTGATGTTCAAAAACAAAGCTACAAAAAGTTTTTGGCTTAAAACAATTATGCCATACTAAATGTTTATATTTTTAAGGTTTCATCATATAAACAATTAAAAACTTTATTAGAGACGTTTAAAATACTTCATAAAACTTTAACAAGACATAAAAAATTTTAAAAACTAAATTAAAAGGCTTAAGGCATAACTAAAAACAAAACTTAACCCTCCCCCTCCCTTTACCAAAAAAAAAAAAAAAAAAAAAAAAAGTAACTCCAACATTTTAAACTTACTTTTTAGTAACCTTTACTAAAAACGCCGAAACTACAATGTCACGTTACCGAAAAATAAAATATTATACTTTAAAGAAATATTTCTTCATCTTAATTTATTTTGTAGCATGTCATTTTGATTATATTGCGATAAATTTGTAGCATCCTACGTTAAAAAATAATCATGCATGTAGCTGTACAATGTTATACATAAATATACGTAAAATAAATAATTTAGTATTTGAATAAAAGTTTATATATTTTTTTGCGTTTTGTTGTATAATTTAATACTAAAATTGATTCTCTGGCGTTTGTATTGATGACCTAGCGTCACTATAAATCTTATTTTACCTTTCAAAACTTTTTAAACTTATGCTTCAACATTTTAACAAATGAGACAAATAAAACCAAATGAGACTAATAAAACCAAATGAGACAAATGAAACCACTGCAAAAAATCAGGTTCTTACCTAGAACATTTTTTACCTGTTTTAAGAAAATGATTGCTTAAAATAAAAATTTGAGCAAATTTTTACTTAGTAAGAATATAAAAATTCTTGTTTCAAGTAAAAATTTACTTTAAATAAGAATTTAAGCAAATTTTTACTTATAAGTAAAAAGTTCGATTCTTACCTAAAACTTTTTTTTTACTTGTTTTAAGAAAATAATTACGTAAATAAGAATTTAAGCAATTTTTTACTTAGTAAGTATAAAAAAATTCTTGATTAAAGAAAACTTTTACTTTATACTTCAAGATTTTTTATTCGCTTTAAATTTCAAGAAATTTTTTTCTTGAAACAAGAACTTATTTTTACTTTGCTCTTTTAATACTTCTACTTTTATATTCTTTACTTTTGTATTCTTAGTATATATATACTTTTAAAATAAGTAAAAAAAAATATATGCATATTTTTTTTTTTTTGTATGTATTTAGGTGCTCCCAGAAGTCCTTGCGGTCGTAAAATAGAGCACCGCGGGAGAGCATTTAACAAGAAGTTCACGCCTCCTTCCATGGGCTGGCGTTGGGCTGGCGCTGGCGTCGAACCTCGGACCTCTGAGTTCTGAGCCAGAACTCTAACCACTGCGCCACGGCTGCACATGATTATATATGTACTTATTCTTTCTTATTACAACAACTGCATAAAGTAATAAATAAACTTCATAAAATCTATTCGTGAAGCGGTTTTTTACATTTCATATGCTCTTTTAATAAATCATCTGTATAAAATTTTACGGGTAAATATCTATTTTCGTCAAGGTCTTTTATCACATAAAAAACAAGTCTACAAGAATTATACGAATTATACAATCTAACTTTAGTAGACTTCAGACTTTTTACATGATATGCTTGAAACTTATTTAAAAAATGGGTTTTTCTCCATAATAGTAATTTCAAAGTAAAGTCGTAAATGGTTTTTTTTAATATATTATGCATAATTATTCATCTTTTTATTAAAAAAAACTACTTTCTTAAAAATTACATTATTTTTATAAATTATAACGCATAATTTTTAGAATTAAACTTCAACGGAAAGTATGAAACAGTATAATAACTCAAATATAAATGAAAGTTAATAAATCTACATATATGATACAATGTAACGCATTAAAAGCTTCACCTAATAAACTCTACGCAGGGCGACTTTTGGGGATGGTGAGGTTGTGCGCCGCACGAAGACAGTAAGTTGTTTAAGGCTGAAAAAAAGCAAAAAATATCACCTGGTTGGCATAAACTTGACAAAATTGTCAGAAAGAAAAAAGAAGTTTTTAGGGTTAGTATGTCAAATTTGGCACGAGTGCGGCTAAGAAAGGCTGACTACGTAAAAAAAAAAAAGGAAACAATTTGAAAACTATATAATGAGCTGATAATTTGCACTAAAACTCAACTTTGGCAATAAAAAATCGACTCGTGCAAGTCGATTTTGTAATTTACATCGACTCGTGCAAGTCGATTTTGTAATTTACATCGACTCGTGCAAGTCGATTTTGTATTACCAAAGTTGAGTTTTAATGTAAATTATCAGCCCATTATATAAAAATTAACTAAATACTAAAGAACTATAAGATGAATAATTGATAGATGAGTTTACTAAAACATTGTTTGTTTGTAATTATGTTCGATAATAGAATGAAAATTATTTTTTATTTAATACTAGTAAAGCTAGGAGTTCTAAACTAATCTATGAGTTCTAAACTAACCTATGATTTCCGAACTAACCTATGAGTTCCGAACTAACCTATGAGTTCCGAACTAATCTAGGAGTTCCGAACTAACCTATGAGTTCCGAACTAACCTAGGAGTTCCGAACTAACCTATGAGTTCCGAACTAACCTATGAGTTCCGAACTAACCTAGGAGTTCCGAACTAACCTATCAGTTCCGAACTAACCTACGAGTTCCGAACTAACCTAGGAGTTCCGAACTAACCTATGAGTTCCGAACTAACCTCGGAGTTCCGAACTAACCTAGGAGTTCCGAACTAACCTAGGAGTTCCGAACTAATCTTAATAAGCTGCTTGCAAAATAATTTTAGTTTTAAGCACCGACGTAACAGCAGCTGAAAATTTTTTTGTGGGTTTTTATTAAAAGACAACTATCCGTATACTTTTAGATGTTTTATTAAACCACTTATTAATATTATTTAATCACATTTAATTATATATTTAGAGAAATTAAATTTTACAAACGCGTGCATTTAAGTTTTTCTTATTTTTATAATATTGTGCATTGTGAATTAGCTTGAAAAAAAACTTTTTTAAAAAAACCAAAAGACTTTATAAAATAGTTTTTAAATAGCCTGAAGAATATTTTTGACTAGTTTTTAAAAATATATGAAAAGACTAAGACTACATTTTTTTATCCTTATTTTACTTGATTTCAATTTAGATTGTTGGCAAGATAGCTCGTGTATTAAAGCCTTCTGTCACAGTTGACTCACAGTTTCAGATTTAAAAAATCCTTGTTTGTACGTAACAGACGATGGAGACAAAGCCATTGCTATGTGTGGGGAAAGATTATTTTATGAAGTTTTTTATTTTTTTATTTTAAAAATAAAAAAAATTTTTTAAAAGTGAACAAAGTAAATTAAAAAAAAATTACAAACTCACAAGCAATATTAGCCTATTTCAAAAATCAAAAGGTTTATTATTTAAAAATAAATTCTATTATAAACTAACCGACGAGCAAACGACGAATAAGCGCGAATTTTATAAGTGCGAACTGGCATAAGTGCGAATGTCGTAAGTACGAACTGTCATATATGCAAATTAACATAAATGCGAACTGGCATAAGTTCAAAGCAGTTACAAAAACGGGCATAAGAGCGAACTGGCATAAGTGCGAATTGGCATAAATGAGCCAAAAGAATTTACAAACTTTGGCATAAGTGCTAAATATGATAAGTGCGAACTTGCATAAGTGTGCCGAATAAAATTGCAAATATTGGCATAACGCAACTTATTATAATTTGCACTTATGCCACTTTGCACTCGTGCCAGTTTTTGTAACGCCTCGCACTTATGCTAGTTTGTACTTATGCCAGTTCGCGCTTATTAAGCCTCCTGGATCAAAGGAGCGAAATATATTTTTTTAAAGGATAAAAATATTTTATACAAAAGTAAAAAAACATACAAATACCGTACTAATATTTCATTTGCATTGCCACCCTCGTCCTCCAACATATGTATTATTAAATAATATTAGACATAATTATGTTGTAAATTATATTTTTCAAGTTTATTTTAAATTTTTTTTTTGAAAAAGTAAGTATTAAAAAAATATTTTTAAAAAAGATACAAACCCACAAATCTAGAGAGCTTAATCCAAAACAAAAAAAAAATTAAAAATTATTGTGTTAAGAAATATAATTCCTAAAAAAGATCTTCAAAAGTTAAGCTATGCAATTGAGCTCTGGAACTCATTGGAGCAAAGGAAAATATTCCAAATAAAAACTTATTTCTTGTCAAAAATGTAACTTTATAATAATTTACCTTGCATTATATACAGCGGGTGATTAAAATATATATATATATATATATATATATATATATATATATATATATATATATATATATATATATATATACATATATATATATATATATATATATATATATATATATATATATATATATATATATATGTATATAGATATATATACATATATATATATATATATATATATATATATATATATATATATATATATATATATATATATATATATATATACATATATATATATATATACATATATATATATATATATATATATATATATATATATATATATATATATATATATATATATATATATATATAATACATATATATATATATATATATATATATATATATATATACATATATATACATATATATATATATATATATATATATATATATATATATATATATATATATATATATACATATATATATATATATATATATATATATATATATATATATATATATATATATATATATATATATATATATATATAGGTGCAATAATATATATATAAGTGCAATAATAGCCGATTTTAAGATAAAGAAAAACTTTTTATAAATAAAAAACACCTTTTAATAAAAAACAAACCCGCAAGCAGTTTAGAAGCAAATTTCTATATTAAAGAAGTTTTTGTGCGTCCCTCTAACGACAAAAAAAGTTCATGTTATGTGAACACCAATCACTATTTTGTCGGGGTACGTTACTTAGAAAATTATAGAACCAAATTATAGAACCAAATCAAACTTGAAAATTATAGAACCAAATCAAACTTGTGGAATTCCAGGTAGAACAATTTTCTCAAATTTACACCTAGTCCGTGATCTAATAGATTACGCCGAAATTAAAAATCTACCTAGTTTCATTTTGTCAATATATCAAGAAAAGGCGTTTGACAAAGTCGATCGCGCGTTCCTGCTGCAGATTCTCCAAAAATTCAACCTCGGAGAAAATTTTATATCTTTTATTAACACCCTGTATTCAGAAATTTCGGCATCTGTTCTGAATTGCGGATTCTTGTCAGCCACTTTTCCAACCGAAAGGGGAGTCAGACAAGGAGACCCCCTCTCACTTTTGTTGTATGTCTTTGTCGCTGAAGCTCTTGCTTTGGTGGTCAGAGCGGACAGCAGAATTGAGGGATTCCCTTTACC